GGGCTCTCAGTGGCTCCGTAGTCACTTCCAGAGAGTCCCTGGCTGAGAGGAGGAGAAGCGAGGAGGGGTCGGCCCGCTGCCCAGAAGCCCAGGCAGGCCAGGAGCTTTTCCTAGAGACACACGGCCAAGTGGAACCAGCAAGGAAAAGACTCCGAGAGGAGGGTCCGCCTGGGTCCTGCTGGTAGATAATGAGGATGAAACAAAGGCAGCAGTCTCCCCGGAGCCTGGGTGGCCAGGGAGGGCTTCCTGGTGGAGGTGGCTTCCTGAATGGCCGCCGTGTGACAATCTGAAGACAGGAGGGAGGCCCAAAGGCTTGGAGGCAGGACCTTGCTGACTGGCTGTCACTAGCCTGCCTGGAACAACAGGGTGGGGGAGGGGCACGACAATGCAGCAATGGCTGGAGGTCACTGGCAGAGGCACCTGTCATCCCAGCCCTCTGGAAGGCTGAGGCAGGCGGATCCCAAGTGTCAGCTCGGCGTGGACAACTCTGCAATTTAGCAAGACCCAATCTCACAATAAAAAAACTAAAAGGCCCGGGAATGCAGTGCAGCGCCAAGGCCCTCGCTTCCGCCCCCCGGTACTGAAAAAAGGAAAAAGCAAAAGAAGCTAACGGGCGCTTGGTGGCGTCCCAGGGTCCTGCGGTTGGCCTATAAAATTCCCACGTTGGCCACATAGGGCGGGCGGCGGGAGCGGCTGGGGTGGGCGACAGGATCAGCCTAATGAGGCCTGGCACAGCTGAGGAGCTGGCGCTGTGCCCGGGGAGCGGCTCAAGAGGTGCGGGTCCTCGGGGAGAAGCCAGGAAGACGCTGCCGTGGGCAGCTGGCTGGCTGACCAAAGGCAAACCGAGGCACAGAGTGCAGGGGCAGCTGCCTTCATGCCGCTGAGGAACACAGGGACCATCCACCCATGGCGTGTCACCTCCCCAAACTCAAATTGACCCTCAGGCCCTGCAACACTATTTAGATGGGTGTGGTGTCTCTGCTCTAGCCCTCAGTTTCCCCAGGGAGAGAGGAGCTGTGTGTTGCAGGCTGGACCCTGCTGTCTAATTTCTTCAAGGGCTCACTTGAAGCCTGCTCTCTCTCTCTCTCTCTCTCTCTCTCTCTCTCTCTCTCTCTCTCTCTCTCTCTTCCCTTTCCTTCCTCTGCTGTCCTCTCCTCTTTTCATCTCTCTCCTCCCATCCCCTTCCCCTCCCCTTGTCCTCTCCTTCACCCCCTCATTTTGAGACAGGGTCTCATTATGTGGTCCACGCTGAACTCAAGTTCCTGGAAGCCCTCCTGCCTCAGCCTCCTTCATGCTGGGATCGAAGGTGTGCATCACCACGCCCAGCTCTGAAGCCTGATTTAACTGGGACTGGATGAGGTCTCTGGTCCATGACCCCCACCCTGCAAGGGGGCCCCATTTCCACTCAATCCTCACTCAGGACCCCACAGCAGGGTCCCTGCCACCCCTCGTTGCTTGCCCCACCCACCTGTATATGGGCATCACCCAGCCCAGAACGCTGAACACAGGACCTCACAGAAAGAGTCCTCTGCCCTAGCCTGCCTCAGTCTTGCCATCTGTGAAATGGGGAGCCAAGGCTGGGCCCCTGTGGGCTGGGCCTGGTCACTGAGGCAGGAGAAACACTCTGAGCTCAAGGCCAGCTGGGGCTACAATCGAGACCCTGCCTCCAGAGAAAAAGAAAACCCTCCATTTTCTTCTCACCCCATTTCTAGCCTTGAGGTCTGGACACCCTGCCTCACGGGGAACCCTAGAAAATGTCCATCTCTGCCCCTTTAAGCCCCTCGACCAAGACAGCCCAACCTCTGTGATACTGGATGCTTGAAGGGCAGCTCCTCTCCCCTCTGCGTTCTGCCTCTGGAGTCTATCTTTGGCCACCCTCATAGGCTCTTCCTCTGCCGACCTTACAGAAGTCTTTTGCTCTTTCTCTATGCCACACTCACCAGGGGGCCCTGCGTATTCCTAAATGAGCCAACCTCTTTCCTCTTTCTGCCTCCAGATCTCTGCATGTGTCTTACCATCACTTGGAATGCCCTTTCTTTTCCCTCCTTAGAAAACTCCTACTCATCCTTTTCAACCCCAAACCTAATGCCCCTCCAGAAAGTTTATCTTGATATTTCTACCTTGCAGTACAGCCCACGTTCCTCATTCTGGGCTCCAAGAGCTCTGTATCCTTGGGTCTGAGTCTGTCTTCCTTGAAACACAGGACGTAGGTCCATGATACTATAGACAGCTAAGTTAGGTAGAAATAGGACATGCAGTCACACAGGACTAGCCCCTCCAGGGAATCAGTGCAAAAGAGCTCATTACAACTATGGCTGGAGCCACATTCACTGAAGGCCAGGTCTCAAGATAAAGCTTACCTTTCCCAGGGACAAACAAGATACTATGATGGATATTACCTGGTCCAATAAAGTCTAACTAGGCATCAGTCACCCAGGTGACTGATACCAGGAGGTGACCGGGACATCCTGATATCTTTTCCAAAAAAATTGTCCTGGTTCTTTCCACGTACACTTGCTTCCCCACTGGCTCAGCATTACCTAAGCAGCTGTACTTGCAATCCTATTGTTGCAGACAGCTGAGTTAGACAGAAATATTACAAGCAGTTTGACAGGGCTGGGCCCTCGCGGGAGCCTGTGCAGAAGACGAGATGCCCTGCAACTGTGGGCGAGACGGGCACCTCCACTGCGGGCCGTATCTCAAGACAAGGTGAAACAAGGCCAGCCAGATCTCAGCGACTAAATCGCCTGCTTAGGCAAGTGCTGGGGGTTCAATCCCTGGCTTGTCGGGCCAGCCCCGCCCCCAGGGAGCGCTGAGACTGCAACTGAGACTGGGCGTGGTGGTGCACCTGTAATCTCAGCTCTTGGGAGGCTGAAAACGGGAGGATCACTATAAGCCTGCTCTGTGCAGTGAGACCCTGGAGCACCGGTACTAAATACACTTAAAAAAAAAAAAAAAAAAAAAGCTGAAACAAACGCATGCACCCACATGCTACCCTAAGGATAAATATCAGGGACCTCCATTCTAAAGAGATCTCCATCAGTTGAGAAAGCCAGGAAAAGCTTCTCACCCACCCCCCGCAGGAGAAGCCCCTGTCCTGCATTCATGGCTGCCTGCTATGTGACTGACTGGCTTCCCCGTTTGACCCTGACTGCATCAATCTTACCTGAGCAATTATGCTCCTAATCTTACAGGCTGACCAGCTTTGTCCCACCTCTTGCCCACCTTGCCAGTTCCCACGTTGCCCACCTTGGACCCACCTCATGTCAGGGAAAAGGCAGGGCCCTTGGCAACCTACCGGGGTCCCTTTCTGTTGGACAGAAGTTATCCCCCCATAAATACATTCTCTTAATCTCTGTTGTTTCTAAAACTCATTCTTCCGTTTTAGAGAACACAAATTCATCCCAGATATCTAACAGGTTGGGAGTTTCCTTCCCCGGTATCACTATTGGTTGATCACAGTTTTATCCCACGTTGTACCTACCTTGTGATTTTGCTCCATAAAACTTCCTTGGAGAAGGGGGCTCATCAACAGCCCACTGGGGCCCCCTCCTCCCACCTCTCAGGAGCTGTCTCTCCCAACAAGGTTTTCCTACTCTCAACCCCCGTTGTTCCTTAGAATCCAGGATTGGAGCTCCGGCGGCTGTTATCAGGCAGGCTGGGTCGGGGATGTTTCCCTGTTTCGTCTGGAGGTCCTGGGTCCTGCAGTCAGGGGCACCGGGCCTGGCCGACACACTGAAACAACCTCTTGTTTGTGTTCCTGAGCCTGAGCGCTGACTTCTTGATTCCTTCCGCCCCAGACTCTTGAAAGTGCCATCCTCTATTCAAATGCCCTGCTAATCCAGGCCCAAACCCCCAGGGGCAAATACTACTGCTGGTGCCATTTCAGACACCGCGCCCTGCTGAAGAGCGGGTCGTTTGTTTTCTTCTCTGTGCCCCTACAATTAGCTTTCAGCAGCTGGCTGGGGGCAGCGTAGACTTGAGAACTCTGACCCTCAGAAGTGCTGGGATGAAAGCGGTGGGGAGGGGGCGGGCGGGGGAGAGCGGGCAAGGCTGGGAACCTGCCCGGGCTGGTCACGCAGCACTGGGGCTTCCTCAGCCTGCGGCACCGGCAGGAGAGATAGACAAAGAATGCCGCGGAACCTGGACAGATGTAGGGCGGGCCAGGCCAGGCCAGGGAAGGGCAGAGTATCCAGACAGGGGTGAGAAAGGCCAGGAGGGGTCCAGTCTCCTGGAGCCCTGCAGGTTATAGTGCCCAGTCTTGCAGGTAATCAGAAGTCTCGTGAGCAGAGCAGATGTACCCAAATACCTGTGCTGCTCTGGGGAGGCGGCTTGATAGCACGGACCCTGGGGAGAAGTCATTTCTCCCCCACATCCGTCCAGCCCTTGGGCCTAATGAGTGTAAGCTACCCACGATCCCGATCTCGGGGACAGGAGCTGGGAAGACAGTCTCCTTCCTCCCCCTCCCCCCGCAATCTTTGCCCTTAAGAGACCCCCCCTCACAGAAGGATTTCACGCCCTCTTGTGGCTAAACGGGCGGCCTCACGAGCTGCGCCAGGGCCGAGCCCTCACCGGAGGACACCGTGTCCCCAGCAGGCTGCCGGGCAGGCGGCGGCGCGCGGGGAACGCGGCTGGAACGCGCCGCTGACAGATGTTTACTTCTGCGCGCAGCTGGGCCGCGACGGCAGCCCCCTCCAGGGCTCTGCAGGATCCTAAACCCCCTCGAGGCCTGGGGGACCCCAAGCAGAGGGGCGTCTAGGTCGCGCCCTAGGGGAGGCCGGGGCAGAGGACTCGGGGGCCTCCCAGGAGGAACCCACAGGGGCACAAGAGGCGATCGCGCGCGCGCCGTCGGGCCGGTTTGGAGAGGTGCACAGGGACCCCCGCCCCTCCGCCCGCCGACCTGTCGTCGCCCCCCTCCCCACGCCTCCTTCACACAGGCGGGGCTTTCCTGTCTCCAGGACAGGGATCCCTGGTCCCCCTACCCCGCCCGGCCCGCTTACCTGCTCGCGGTGTCGACTACCCAGCCCCGGCCCCAGCCGCCGCGCCCGCCATGCGGGCCGCCCGGGCCCGAGGCGCTCGGGGGAGCCCGGGCCGGAGG